GGCTGAGAGCTCCATGGAGGAGGTCGACTAAGCGGCTTGCTTTTCGAAACAAAAATTAATTCTTGAACTTCACGACTTGTAGTCTAGTACCATTTCTTTCTTCTATCTCTTTATGTTCTGGGTTCTCTTTTTTGTTTTGCAAAAGTTCAATGCGTGATGATATTATGAATGGGGTTGGGTTTACTTTGGCAGGGGATTTCTTGTAGCAAAGATTTTAGCAACACGAATTGAACTTGTCGCTTTCGGCGTCTAGGCATATACATTTCTAGTTCATTACTCTTATAAGTTCTTGTTCAAACGGCAGAATATCGTGCTTGTGACTGAAAAAAAACCTAGCTAGTGCCATTGATTTGACAAATTCATTAGAGCTACTATTTGATTGTGGCGAATTATAAAAATCATTTGTGCAACGTACTTAGTGTTGGTGTGTGCGTGTGGCTTGCCAAGACTTCGCGTGACGCCCTAACATTTTTTCTTCTATCCAATCCCTGTCGCAAGGTTTGGCCCCGCCAGAAGAAGGAACCAACTGCAATCTTTGGTTTGTGTATATCGACCGAGTAGACGGCTGTGTGGAGTGAATCACCATCCCTCAACATGTCGCTCGATGCCAAACTTGCGAAGATCCGGTCTCCGAATTTGAAGAACCAGCAGCAGGTAACCACCCACCGCCGTCGTTCGCGAATCCGTGTTTCTTGCACTGGACAAAGACACCTGACAGTGTTACAGGTTGCCGTCGTTCTCAATGCCGTCGAAGATATCCTGCGCGAGCAGAACACCGAATTCTCGCCGACCGCCTACTTCGTCGCTCTCCTCTCTCTCTTGCAGCAAGCCACCACGCCGACCAAGATCCTGAATAAGGACCTCGCCGCTTCGACCGTCTACCTCCTCGATACATTCACCCCGCACACACCGACGCCGCTCCTGCGCGCAAAGTTCTCGCAGATTCTCACCCACCTTATTCCTGCGCTCACCAACCCCGAAGCCGAAGCTCCTCTTCTCCGTAGCGCCATCGGCGTGCTCGAGGCTCTGCTGCTGGCCCAGGATGGCGCTGCGTGGGCGATCAAACAGACAGAGATGGGCCCACGACGGGCGGTCTCTGGTCTGCTCAACATCGGCCTCGATGAGCGCCCGAAGGTGAGGAAGCGAGCGCAGGAGGCGCTGACGAATGTGCTGAAAAACCCGCCCCCGAGCCCGAGTCTGGATCACCCTGCGAGCGATATGTGTGCTGCGACGACGCTGCTGAATGTGCAGGCGTTGGTCAAGGCGGCAGAAGCCCAGGCGGGCAAGAAGAAGAATGAACGTGATCCCAGGTTGATCCATTGTCTGCAACTTGTGAAGAGTGTCGCAGCAGCTGGTGGGTGGCCGAGTAAGAGAATTGAGGCTTTGTGTGAGGCGCTGCTGGGGATTGCAAGAAGTGGCAACGAGTTCCTGGCGATGGCTGCATTGGGTGTTTTCGAAGAGATTTTCGGCGGATTGGCTGAAGAGGTTGGAGGTGGTAAGCTTGAGGTGGTCATTGAGGTGAGAAATGCATTTTCGGGAAGTTTTTCAATTTATTGACATTGGGATAGGCCATCTCAGAGTTGAGACCGTCAAAGAGCGATTCGCAACTGCTTCCACCATGGCTGGCCGTGTTGTCTCGAGGATACGAAGTTTATTCGGTCGTTTCTGAGGATAAAGCATTTGCAAAGTTGCCTGAACTTTTTACCCTGATATCCACATTCCTTGAATCGCCAGCACACAACATCCGGTCATCGTCATCACAATGTTTGATTTCACTCATCGATTCCTGCATTCCCGAGTCCTCGCTCTTGGACATTACTAGATCAACGGAGACAATCTTCCAACAGGTTGCGACTGCTACTACAGACCTGCTGTCTGTCCGGTACCAGGGCGCCTGGGTTGAAGTCTTTGATGTACTCAATGCCCTTTTCGCTAAGCTAAAGTGGCGCTCCGACCCAGTTCTTTCCGAGGCTGTCAAGATTGTTGGCGATTTGCGCGGCAACGAGGGATTCCAGGGCAAGAAGCAGGCCGACACAGTTATTTCCAGCGCCGTACATGCCATGGGACCCGATGTGGTCCTTCCCATCCTTCCTCTAAATCTTGAGAAGCCCGTGCGTGGCCAGCCTGGTCGTGCGTGGATGTTGCCGATTCTGAGAGACTCCGTGTACAACACAAAGTTGGGCCACTTCAGACAGGAGATGGTGCCCCTGAGCGAGGCGTTTTTCCAAAAAGTGGTCAACTTTGGCGAAGAGAAGGAGAAGACTATGGAAATCAAAATCTTTGAGACGTTGGTGGGACAGATCTGGGCAATCTTGCCTGGATACTGTGATTTGCCTACCGATCTGATCGAAACCTTTGACCAGACGTTTGCAGAGATGCTCGCGAATGTGTTGTACCAGAAGGTGGAATTGCGGAGTGACATTTGCAAGGCTTTGCAGAATCTGATCGATTCCAACAAGGCGATTCTGGAGATTGAGGTGGATGAGGATGGTCAAGAAGACCTGATTGCTCAGAGACGGATCACTAAGCAACAGGCTCAGGACAACCTCAATCACCTTGCCGGACTTTCGGGCAACATGTTGGCTGTGCTTTTCAATGTTTACAGTACTACACTGCCGCAGTTTAGGGGCTTTATTCTCAAATGCCTGAACTCATTTTTGAGCATCACCCCCCGTGCGGAGCTGATGGGCACTTTCGAAAAGGTTACAGCCATGCTGGAGACCTCGCTCGCTGAGCTTGGTGCACAGACCCAGGCGGACAAGCAGAAGAAGAAGAAGGAGACCGACGCTATGCCACCCATGGCCCACACTCTCATGGATTTGGTTATCACAATTACACCCTACCTGCCAGCTGAAAGCTACGGTGCTCTGTTCGAGATTTTCAACGCAACGGTGTCTAAAGAGGATGATCCACAGCTGCAGAAGAAGGCCTACAAGGTTGTCCCCAGACTTGCCGAGACCGAGAACGGCCGCAAGGCCCTGGCCGCCCAGACCGAGGCTTTGCAGGAGCTGCTCATCAACTCTGGCGAGAAGGTAACGCCGCCTGCACGGAGAGACCGCCTGGTGGCCTTGGCCCAGATGATCGACTTCCTGCCCGACGAGGACCTGCATTTCATCCCCGCAGTACTGTCCGAGGTTGTCATCTCCGCCAAAGAAGTCAACGAGAAGGCGCGCACCGCTGCTTTTGATCTGCTCGTCGCCATGGGCGAACGCATGAAATCCGGCGGCGTCCTCAAAAACAGCAAAGTCGCGCACATGCCCGACGACGCCCCCGACGTCAAAGCCACGCTCGAAGAATACTTCACGATGGTGTCCGCCGGCCTCGCCGGCAACACACCGCACATGGTCTCCGCCTCCATCACAGCGCTCACCCGCATCATGTGGCAGTTCAAAGACGCCGTCGACGCCACGCTCCTCGGCGAACTCGTCAGCACGCTCGACCTCTTCCTCACCTCCAAGAACCGCGAGATCGTGCGCTCCGTCCTCGGCTTCGTCAAGGTCTGCATCATCGCGCTGCCAAAGGACATGGTCGAGGCGCGCTTCCCCACGCTGATCCCGAACCTGATGGTCTGGTCGCACGAGCACAAAGCGCACTTCAAGGCCAAGGTCAAGCACCTCGTCGAGCGCATGGTGCGCCGCTTCGGCCTGGAATCCGTCGAGCGGCACATGCCGGAGGACGACAAAAAGCTGCTTGCGAACATCCGCAAAACCCGCGAGCGCCGCAAGCGCAAGAAGGACGAAGCCAAGGCCGCCGGCGCCGGGTCCGACGACGAGGGTGCACCCGCGGAGCCGGCGCCGCGCAAGAGCAAGTTCGAAAACGAGTTTGATGAGGCCATTTATGGTTCGTCGGACTCGGAGGCGTCGTCGGACGGCGAGGCCGCGGGCGACGTCGACATGGACGGCGCGCCGATGACGAACCGCAAAGCCGCGGCGAAGAAGCACGGGCAGACGTTCATCGTCGAGGACCCCGACGAGCCGCTGGACCTGCTCGACCGCGCGTCGCTCGCGCACATCTCGTCCACGCGCCCGCTCAAAGCCCGTGTGCCCAAGAGCCGCACAAAGGCGCGCGTGAACGAGGACGGGAAGTTGCTGCTCAACGATGATGGGAAGGATGGGAAGGGCGGCAAGGGTGCGGAGGATGGCGATATGGATGTGGATATGGACAGCGGCGTGGGCGGCGTGGACGCGTATGTCGACGCGGTGGCCGGGAAGAATGCGTACACCCGTGGACAAAGGGGCAAGGTCAAGTTTAGCAATAAGAGGGCGCGTGAGGAGGAGGGGGAGATGGAGGTGGACGATGATGAGGGTGAGGGCGGGAAGAAGGAGAAGGGGGGGTATGAGAGTGCGGGGAAGAAGGCACGCAAGGGCAAGGCTGGGGGGAAGACGCAGCAGGCTCAACGGAAGCCGTTGGGGATGCCGAAAACGAAGGGCGGAAGGCGGTAGAAAAGTTTGTTTTGTAAGGGTTTGGGTAGATGGTTGTAGCCAAGTAGTTATTGTCTCATCTTATGTGGAATGAATGGAGAATGGAATTACATCAGTACTGATACTGCGACGGTGCTTGTCCTTGCCTATGATAGCTGGTGAAGTCTCCCAAAACCGCATGCCAAAGTTTGACACGACACGTGGAGACCCTTCTGCCGCCTAAGGTCAACTTCACCATGCCATGCCATGTCTGAGCCATTCCTGATCGTCAAAATACTTCTGTATGTACTATGTTGTACTATGGCCTATGTGATGTCTCCACAAGACGTTTGATTTGAAGATGCATAGACAACCTCCTGCTTACCATTACTACACTCCAATGCCATACCACCACACGCCCCTCTTTCCACTCCCCCCCCACCCCCCCCCAGCCCCGTCGCGTTCTGCTCCACTTGCACTCTTCCCAGAGTGACACTCCACCGCAATCCAGATTCCACCCCCCCCCCCCCCCCCTGTCTGAATCCACGGCGCTCAGCCACACACCACAGACATAACGCACAAGGCTGCAACGTGCACAGCGCTTCCGTAACTCAGTGGTAGAGTATCCGATTGCAGATCGGATTGTCAGGTGTTCGATCCACCTCGGGAGCTTTCTCCTTTTGCCCGCCTCTTTTTTGCCCGCCCTCCCCTTTTGCCCCCCACTATCCCCGCCATCCCCGCTGTCACACTCTCTAGCTATCGACCGCCCCCGCCTCCCACCGCACTTAAACTTTTACGGGCCGTAATTCACTTCACGGGACGCACGCAATGGATGGCACGGTATTGTATTGCAACTGTTCTACATGCACGCCACGCACAATACACAAAGTCACATTCCTGCATTCGTAGCATTTTCATTATCCTGCTCCGTCTCCGCCCGCGCTTACAGCTCGACAATCCGCACGCCGTCCTTGTCCACCACCTTGACCAGCAGGCCTTTGAAGTCGATCGGCAGCCGTTTCGTCAGCTGTCCCAGAACCCCCCGTTAGCCCAATTCACACATCCATATGTGCATCGCTCACCTCGTCACGACACATCCGCATCAGCTTCAGCCCCGTCTCAAGGTCAATGTCGGGCTGGTGGTGCTTGTCGAGAATCGACAGGCAGTAGTACTGCGCGTACCCGTGCGCCGCGTACGGCACGGTGGCCTGCGAGCCCAGGTAGTCGAGCCAGTACAGGTGCGGCCGCGCAGTGTTGGTGTCGTAGCCGCCGACGAGGAGGCTGACGTTGTACGGGTTCTGGCCGTGTTAGCGCGCGAACACAAGCAGCGAGCACGGTGGGGAAGCAGCGGAGGGGGGCAATGGGGCAATGGGGCAGTGGGGGCAATGGGGGAAGTGGTGGGAAGGGCAATGGGGACTCACGCGGCTCCGGATCGACCGCGCCAGCTCGCGGCGGATAAACGACGCCACGGCGCTGGGGCTCAGCTGCCAGCTGCTGTTGTTGCGCATGCCGTACAGCTGCACGTTGGCCTGGATGTATTCGGCGAACTGGACTGCGCAGCGTCAGCGTGCGTGCTCTCTTCTCTCCATCCCGCCGTGCATCATCAGGCCATCACGCACCCGTGTCGCCGGCCTCGCCCGCGTACGCCATCAGCGTGTGCGGGTTCAGCAGCTTCGTCTTGTCGTCCTCGGCCTTCAGGATGGTCACGCCGCGCATGGCCGCCTTGGACGCGGCCAGCAGCGTAAAGTCTTTGCCGGTGATGCCGAGCAGAACCTCCCTGCAGCGTCCGCCGTCGGGTTAGCATGTGGTATAGTTGGGGGCGGCGGGGAGACGGGACGTACATGGTGGTGATGGGATGGAGATGGGGGGGGTGAGGTGGTGATGGATTGATGGAGCGTTGTCTGTGGAGAGAGAGCTCCCACCAGCATCAGCACCACCATGGATGGTGTCAGCCACATCGCAAGCCCCACCGCCAAGCCGTGGCGTCCGCGCGGAAAAAATTAATTTTGGGAAACAACACTGGTTGAGGTGGACGACCAGCAACTGCACCGTACCAGCACGACAGCACCACCACCGACTTTGCTAAGAGCAGCACGCCGAATATGCCCCGCCGGTAAACTACGAACAAACGAAGACACAACCCCCCAACGCCGCACTACACCGCAGCAGAATAGCAAGCACAACGGCTCACACGCCACCACCACCACACCATGTCATCGTTTTTCACACTCCCCGGCTCAGCCCGCAAGCGGAAACGCACCGAGGCCGCGGCCGCAGGGTCCAAGAAGTCGCGCGCACCCAACGCCGACGTCGACGTAAGGCCGGCGCGCGGGCTGCGCAAGAAGAAGAGCAGCAAGGACGACGAGATCTCGAGCGACGATGAGGATGCGCCGGCTGCGGCCCGGGGGTCGGACGACGATGAGGATGATGAGACGGCCGGCGAGACGGCGGCGGAGCGACGCTTAAGGCTGGCGCAGCAGTATTTGGATAATATCAGGGAGGAAGTCGGTGCGTTCCTTCCACACTGTCCCCTCCTACCACCCCCCCGTCCTAGAAGACTCCTACTGACAGAGACCCCACAGACGAAGGCGGCTTCGACGCAGCCGACATCGACCGCGACCTAATCGCCGAGCGGCTGCAAGAAGACGTCGCGGAAGAAAAAGGACGCATCCACCGCTTCATCGCCTCGCAGTACGCCTTCGAGTCCGCACCCACCACTCTGTTCCGGACCAACAACTCCCCCACCACCGGGCTCGCCGTGTGCGCGCCGCACGTGTACACCGTGTCCCGCGACCGCCACCTAACACAGTGGCTGCTCCCGCCGCACCCCGCCCCCGCCGCGACACCGGCACTCACGCCCTCCCGCAAACCCACGCGCGTCCGCTTCGCGCGCGGCGGCCGCTCGGGCGACACCAGCTTCCAAGGGCACATCGGCGCGATCCTCTGCGTCGCCGCCAGCGCAGACGGGCGCTTCGTCGCGACCGGCGGCGCCGACCACCGCCTCGTCATCTGGGACGCGCCCACGCTCACCGTGCTGCGCGTGTTCCCGCAGCACCGCGCCGCCGTAACAGCACTCGCCTTCCGCCGCGGCACGAACGAGCTCTTCTCGGGCTCCGCAGACCGCACGCTCAAGCTCTGGTCGCTCAACGAGCTAGCCTACATCGAAACGCTGCACGGGCACGCCGACGCGGTCCTCGCCGTGTCCGCGCTCGCCGGGGACCGCTGCGTCTCCGCCGGCGCCCGCGACAAGACTGCGATGCTGTGGAAACCGACCGACGAGACGCGGCTGGTGTTTCTTGCCGGCGGGGGGACGGGGAAGCAGAGGTTTAATAAGGACGGGAGCGTGCACCATGAGCCCGGGAGTTTGGATGCGGTGGTGATGCTGGACGACGAGACGTTCGTCACCGGCGGCGACAACGGCGCGATTAGCCTGTGGAGCGCGCATAAGAAGAAGGCCGTGCACGTCGTGCAGGTCGCGCACGGCCTCGCGCCGCCGCCGACGCCGGAGCAGTCCAGCGCTGAAGCAACGCCACCCGAAGCCCCGCCGTGTCCCCCGCAGCCGCGGTATATCACGGCGTTGGCGTCGCTGCCGTACTCGGATCTGGTGTTCTCGGGCAGCTGGGACGGGAGCGTGAGGGTGTGGCGTGTGACGGGGGACAAGAGGCGCCTGGAGCCGGCAGGCGTGGTGGGGCCCGAGGGCGGCGTGAGGGGCGTGGTGAACGCGATTGCTGTTGCGGAGCGGGAGGGGGAGATTACGGTGGTTGTTGGGACTGGGACGGAGATGAGGCTGGGGCGGTGGATGGGTGTGCCTGGGAGGAATGGGGGGTATGTACTCCAGGTGGGGAAGAGGGAGGTGAAGGCGATTGAGGCGGCGCCGGAGGGGGAGGGGGAGATGGAGACGTAGGGGAGGGCGGTGGGGATGTGGTGGGGTGTGGATATAACTTCTTTTTTTCGTGAGGCGTAGGGGAGAGGTAGATGATGGTGTTGTAAATATCAAGAAAGACGAGATGGGCGAGATGGGCGATAAAAGCGGCTAATGCAATGGTTTACATACTACATACACACCTACGTCCAGTAATTTTCACTTCCAGTGTTTTCTTCCCCGTCTCATGATTTATGTTCACTCGCGCACCATCGATAGTTCAGTTCAGTTTTGGCCATATTCGGCTCTTCTGGTCTCTTCAGCTGTACACCTAACACAGATATGTATACCGGCGCCACTGGGGGACATCCGTCCTGACATCCGTGCGGCCATCCACCAGCGGGCTGTGGGCCCGCGGCGGAGCAACTTTGGAACTTGGGGGTCAAAGCGTGATAGTAGTGGTGTCTTAGATAGAACGCGTCGTGTTGGGCCTCCTTTATCCATCCCATCACGGTACATTTCTATCAATCACATTCAACTTCTTCCTTCCCACCCTCCCATTCTCCCCTTCCCCCTCTCCCCCGCCGTCTGCACCGCCCTGCACCGTCATCCCAACTGGCCCGCCCTCTCCACCGACAACCCCTCCGCCATCCCCTCCGGCAGCCCTCCACGGCCTGGCCCAGTCCACTTGTACCCCCAGTGTCCATTCCACCCCCACCCAGAACCCCACCGGCGTCCAGCCGTCGTGGCGTCGCCACCGGCGCGGCGAACCATGCGGGGGCGTGCGCTGCTCTGGGGCAGCGGTGAAAGTGGAGTAGTTTTTGTTCTTCGATGGCGCGCATGCCATTGCAGGATTGGAGTGGAGAGCTTCTGCGACGCCGACGCGCTGGCGGCGCTGTGGAGACGTTAACGGTCCCAGGGCGGGATGGTCATGTTCACGGCGACAGGTACTGGCCGGGTGTGTGTAGTGGTAACGGGGAGATGGGAGAAGTTGCAAGTAGACTACATGTCACTAGTGGGTGATATTGAATAGCAGAACCATTGAACGTACGAGTAGTTACGGACACGCAATTCAATTCGCTAGTATTCAACGAATCCAAGAATATGTATTCGTACGATGCAAACACCCGGACCTCACCAACGCTACATATAGGCTCAACTGGGTTCGTGTATCGATATCAAATTCTTAATGCTGTATAGTGCCGTGCTATACCATCCACTGTTCCACCCTTCCCGTCTCCCACTCCCACTCCTAAGGGAGGGCCACTCGTAACGGCTGGACGGACGGCCAGACGGCCAGCAACGGGAGCCACGCAGTACGAACCGCCGGAACAATCGCAGAACAGGCGCAGAACAGGAGCCGAAACGGGGACCTGCGGTCGACCCACGCCTTTCCTCGGGCACCCTGGCCAAGGTCTAGCTTCATGAGAGGGAACGCCCCCGCAGCCTCCTGCCATGACTTGTTGCAACCTCGTCCCCGCCAGGCGACACTTCATTGTCGCGCACTCGAAGATGCGAAACTTCTAGCGCATTGGCCAACGTGTTTGCCAAAACATTACAGATGATATACGTGCTGGGCCATAAGTGGCTGTAGTAGCTTTTGTTTGATCTTTGATGGCATCTGGGGGGCGTTAGCACATGTTTGGGGGGAGGGGGAGGGGTGGGATGGACCTTCAGTTATTTGGTAAGGGTTGGTTCAAGTGGTCTGAAGATCGCTGGTGATCTCCCCGCCGGGCAGTGAGCTCGCATCCGCATTGCGCATCTCGAACTTTGTCGGAGGGTGCATCTCGCGACCAAAGGGCCGGGTAAC